AAATTTTATTGGGGGCAATCAGATTTTCTCTTTCTGTTAAAAGGTTTCTGAAAAGAGTCTTTTTGTTAAATATTTCTGTACAGGCCAGAAAGCATATGGTCATTTGCAAAAAGTACTTAATTCTGTCTGTGTACTGGTCGCCCCTGTAGTTCTCCCCAGCAGGTGTCTTGAAGTATAGCCCAGCTGGCTTCCTGGATGCTTTTTAAATTGTCCTCCTCATAGTTGCTGCCCTTGTTCTTCAGCCCCTTCTCCACTACCAAAACCAAATCATAATTTCAAGCAGGAAGATCTATCCAGCTTCAGAATATTCTAGAACTGTGTGACACATCGCTCTTACAATTAGAATGATATAAATTAAGTTCTGCAGGTGGGAGCTGAGATCTCATTCTTAAGCTGTTTTTGTAAGTTATTTCTTGTCCTTTACCTTCAAAGTTTCCATATTTTTAATCTCTTAATAGTGGATTATACAAGGGGGTACAAGTCCCTACAGTAAACCCATGTCCAAATTACACCTGGAATTTTCAATGATAACTACTTTTGTACTTACTAATCTTGTGCTATGGCCTCCTGGTAATGACCTATAATATCATCTTGAATATCCTAGAGCTCTCACTAGTCTTGACTTGGATTTGGAGAATTGCTGTAACCCTTGAACTTTGTACTTGCTAGTCAGACAGTAGCTGCTATCTTGAGATATTTACTCAAAAGAGCAAAAAGCACATAATCTCACGCAAATCTGAAAAACTGAGGTTAAAATCATTTTAAGTCCAATAACCTCTATTAACATTTTCTTGCCTTCAATTCTGATTGCATATTTTTGTTCTGCATAAGTTTAAGGTCGTTTTAATCAGAGCATGCATAAAATTGAGCAGCCTCTCCAAGTTACTCTATTTTTTCCCAATCTTCATTAGAGCCTGTTATTCGTTTTGACTATAAATTCTCAAAAACTATAGAAAAAAAATGTTGATTAATTCATTCATTCATTTAACATGCAATTATTGAATACTCTACTTTTGATAGGGACATCAAGATTGAAGCTATTAATTTAACTCTGTAAGAAAAAAAGGAAAGAAAAACGTCATATTGTAGAATGACGCTGTTAGGTATTATCAGTAATCTACAGAGATGTTATTTTATGTAGCTAAGCTTAAAAAGGAACAAATATTTTGCACTGAAACACATTTTAGCTAACTTAAAAAAACTAAAAATTTAAACCGATACATTAGTTTTGTTCCTTACCAATACCTTAAATTGTATGAGTACTTAAGGGGGTAACTACCCTCTTCCTGGCTTAATTACACACAT